CGGGGACCTTTCGGTTGCCAGCGTCAGCGTTGTGATATATGTAATCGCTTTCCTCACCTGAGCTTAGGAGTTTCCTATACAGTGTTGGAGTAGGAATATATGTAATCGCTTTCCTCACCTGCTGAGCTCAGGAGTTTCCTATACAGTGTTGGAGTAGGAATATATGTAATCGCTTTCCTCACCTGCTGAGCTCAGAAGAGTTTCCTATACAGTGTTGGAGTAGGAATATATGTTATCGCTTTCCTCACCTGCTGAGCTCAGGAGTTTCCTATACAGTGTTGGAGTAGGAATATATGTAATCGATTTCCTCACCTGCTGAGCTCCGGGGTCTCTTCACTAATTATAGGAGTTTACGTACAAATTCGGGTAGAAGTGTACAGAAAATTTCCTCTAAGAATTTTCATATTGTCATCATCACCGACACATATAGTTGACCATGTGCATATTTTTCTCCCACCACTACTGCTCAGCATTATTATTGCAGATTGACTTTCCAACTCATCACGCGGACTTCCCTGTGCTGTGCGGCTAAGAACCGCGCGGAACAACGAGTGCGGAATTCAGCGACTTTATCAAGGCCATTGTTGAGGTCGTCACAGTAATCGATTAGAATGGCGTAGCGAGATTTACAAATGGTTAATTTTCAGGGCGTCGCAGCAAAGGCAGAGTTCTAAGCGGAAATGGGTGCCTCAATGCTGTGTGGAGTTCTGGTGATAGGGGGTATAATCGTTTGGTCTGAAAGTGGGTGAAAAATTCACCAGCGGTTTCGACAGTATTCATCATCGTAGTGAAGGTTAAAGCAGTGATGGGTGAAAATTTCCGAAATCGTGATTATTTTACTCAGGTATTCTCTCCGTTTTTGCGCCCTGCGAGTCATCCCGACGTGTTGCTATACCATCTACTACGCTTGTGGCGGATGCTTGCGGGTTTGCGCTTGTTTGGATTCAACGCGGTCAAATATTGGGTAATTTATTCCGAGCGAAAAATTCACGGTTGATCGATTATGATAATCAGTGTGGGGGGAAAATATGCACATGAATGTGTTGGTGACAATATAAAAATTTTGAGAATTTTCACTGATTTCTGTACATTCCTACCCGAATTCATATATAAACTCTTCTGAGCTCAGCAGGTGAGGAAAGCGATTACATATATTCCTACTCCAACACTGTATAGGAAACTCTTCTGAGCTCAGCAGGTGAGGAAAGCGATTACATATATTCCTACTCCAACACTGTATAGGAAACTCTTCTGAGCTCAACAGCTGAGGAAAGCGATTACATATATTCCTACTCCAACACTGTATAGGAAATTCTTCTAAGCTCAGCAGCTGAGGAAAGCGATTACATATATTCCTACTCCAACACTGTATAGGAAACTCTTCTGAGCTCAGCAGCTGAGGAAAGCGATTACATATATTCCTACTCCAACACTGTATAGGAAACTCTTCTGAGCTCAACAGCTGAGGAAAGCGATTACATATATTCCTACTCCAACACTGTATAGGAAACTCTTCTGAGCTCAGCAGCTGAGGAAAGCGATTACATATATTCCTACTCCAACACTGTATAGGAAACTCTTCTGAGCTCAGCAGCTGAGGAAAGCGATTACATATATTCCTACTCCAACACTGTATAGGAAACTCTTCTGAGCTCAGCAGCTGAGGAAAGCGATTACATATATTCCTACTCCAACACTGTATAGGAAACTCTTCTGAGCTCAGCAGGTGAGGAAAGCGATTACATATATTCCTACTCCACCACTGTATAGGAAACTCTTCTGAGCTCAGCAGGTGAGGAAAGCGATTACATATATTCCTACTCCAACACTGTATAGGAAACTCTTCTGAGCTCAGCAGGTGAGGAAAGCGATTACATATATTCCTACTCCACCACTGTATAGGAAACTCTTCTGAGCTCAGCAGGTGAGGAAAGCGATTACATATATTCCTACTCCAACACTGTATAGGAAACTCTTCTGAGCTCAGCAGGTGAGGAAAGCGATTACATAT